AGCCCAAATTCGGGGAAGCGGAAGGGAAGGGAAGCAGAAGGGAGCTCATACAACAACGCCTGGGAATCCGCAAATTCCCCTGCCTAGACTCAGCACACCAACGGTGCTTCCATCTCTTTTAACCCAAACCTTATTGTATCCTATCTTCTCAGCACCTTGCAGCACCCCGGGGGTATATCTATGCTGCCGCTCCTCCTCAGGGATTCCTGTCCATGGTCTATGCTCCTTGTACTCTGGATCTGCCCGTAGAGCTTTGACAATCGGTAACTTAGAAGCTGATGCTTCAAGCTCCTCAATCGTTTTCTTTTCTTCTGGGGAGCCACGGATTGGTAGAGGATCCTTTAACAATGGTCCAGAGATCGGTAGAAAGTAATTTGTTAAAACCACGCCCGCCGTGCCCCAGAGGAGGACATGCGCAGCTATTGCAAACGTGAGTCGGAGAGCAAAAAACGGCTTTCGGGCTTTCGAGGCAGCTGTTGAGAACCTGCGAAAAGGTACCTGGTGGGCACGGAGCCGGGCAGATAAGCGGAGGCCACAGACGTTCATTTTCGAAACTACAGATAAAGACTAGAGTGGAAGAGTTGGTGTTGTGGCCGTCCGTCAAACCGAGGCTGTTGCTGTGCACCAGAACCTGCATAAATCTCAGGGCTACCCCGACAAGGGTAACGAGATCTGGGGAAGAAAAATGCTTCTTCAAAAGGCGCCGCCGAGAAACCCCACACTTTAGTTTGAATTTCAATACTCCGCGAGCTTGTTCTGCCATTTTTTCTTTTTTTGTCAAAATAGTCAACCAATAGTTCAAAGCAGCCGGAAAAAGCATTTGGGGGCACGATGCTGAAAATTCTGCTGAACGTCGGAGCCTTGTAGGTAATGTAAATTCTTGTACAGGAGCAAATGTATGTAGGCAACATGCATCCGACATCCCATTGAACGGATTGTCTGTTTAATCGATTATTTCAGTATATACGTAGCGTGGGGGTTTGAGCTCTGTAAAAACAATTGGCACATTGGAGATCGTAAATAAGGGTTGAAATAAAGTGCACATGAGTGTCATGGCCATGGTATTGATGCTAATGCTTAATGACCGTCCGGTATTCTCTCTCTCCCCTTTTCCCCCCTTTTTTGATGGGGGAATTGGAGAGGTGAAAATCCGATGACGGTGGTTAGTGTTTCCTGTAATTAAGTTAAGACTGACATAAACCCTTAATTACCATTCGAATCCGAACTCCGAGGCACGTCTAACTATAAAACGTATAAGGATATATGCTACATTTTCTAATTGAGAAGATCTATCCGCACCATGTCACATATGAGCTTTTATGCTTTGATTTCTGTTTACAGTCATACCATCGTTTTATATTCTGTTTATAGCCAACTGAAGGTAACTACATTAAGTAAAATACAAATAAAAGCTATTCCCTAACTGAAAGAAAAACGGATGAAAGCATTATAAAAATCCAACTACATATTCCTTCCCCAGTAAATGTCCCAAACCCCATGATTAGCCATCCAAATCCTGAGCTTGTTCTTCTTGGGGGTCATCCAAAGTTGGCTGATGAATCTCTCGCCGTTGACCGTTACCGATAGGTCCGTGATAGGGGTACATTATATGAGCATTCTGTATATTATGGATATTGGTAACATGAGGGCTATATAACATATGGGCCGCACTGACTCCCTCGGATGTAGTAGGATGTAGCGCTGGTATCTGGGTATTTGTGGGAGGGAGATCGAGACCATTTGATTCCGTTACTCCTGCAGTAGCAGAACTATCTTTATTCTAGTGATTCCAGTAGAATTGATGGGTTAGTTAAGAAGTAAAGGGAACAGATCTTTTTATCACACTGCGAATTATATTTTCAAGGGAACTTACACTATTTTTTCGTTTCCCCCAACACTTCCACCCCTTAAAGAGAGCCAAAATTCCAGCAATTGCTGTTATTACAGCAACAACAATTCCAGCAATGCCCAAGGCATCAGTTGAATTGTAACTACTCGGGGAGTTTAGATCCCGTGGGATAATCTGGACGTGTTTTAGGATCATTATGATTTCGACTGAGAAAGCGGATTCGGATGTTGATATATATGCAAGGAAGTTTTATTGAGATGATTTCCGTGTTTATGGATATGAGTGTAGAGATTTGAAAGGAAACTAGTCTCTCTTATCTTGTCCCAGGAAAAAGAAAATAAAAGGGTTAGAAAGACATCGTTACCACTCCGAGAATTATCGTTTCTAGGTCATCATAGTAGGCAGTGAATTATGCTTATTGCTGCGGATTGTCTACGTGGGGGAGTTGAAGTTCTATGTATCGGGGGCGCCCGGCCAGGCTGCTTTCGATGTGTTAACATTCTCTCGCCCTCACTTTCACCCCCACAGCGATCGAGTTTCTTCCGCTCAACGGTGTTAAAAAGTCTTTTTTTTGATTTCTAATGCACACCTCACAGCGCCGCGGAGTAAATATGTCCATTGTATGCACTTTTGACGCACGCAAGGCGCTTCTTATGTCCTTCGTCTTTGATCAATGGAACATGTCGCCATATTGAGCTGGATTGTTGTTCTCCTGGAGCGTGGGCAGCACCTTCTTCAATGAGCGCTTTTTTGACCTTACTGGCCAATGAAGTCTAGTATTCCTTGATGTGGATGGGAATTTTCTGCTCTTCGTGGTTTCCAGCCGAGGAAACATCAAGAAGGTCCACACCTTGAAACCCCAACGCCTTGTGCAATTAAGCTACAGTAGGTAGCCCAACAAGTTGCTGATATACGTCAGACCACCACCTCTTTATTGCTTTTTCTAACTAAGTGTGCTGTCTGGATTCGTTGAAAGGTGATCGGACCTTTCTTCTGACCATGGTGCCGGAGGGCGAGGTACCCGGTTTCATCGATCATCCCCCCCCCCCCCACGCACACACATACACATGTTCACCGCCGAATTGAAGTCTTTGGTACTTATTCCTGCAATGATGTATGGTTCCCCCAGTCTTAAAGGTAACATGAGAAAAACGCCAAGTCTCGAATAACTTTTCAACCACGATTGATATTAAAAATATGGAAAGACAAACTCTTCTTCATCATGGTATCCAGCTTTTCTCTTTCCATATTTTTAATATCAATCGTGGTTGAAAAGTTATTCGAGACTTGGCGTTTTTCTCATGTTACCTTTAAGACTGGGGGCACCATATAGAAATATGGCGGTTCTCACATAGGCCTACGTAGGATACGGCAAGGCTGTGAATAACACCATTCTCCACACTGCAAAATCATCGTGAGATGGGTACTGGCAGCTGACTATGACGATGACAAGATAGTTACTCGGACAAGTACGTATACGTATGAAGTCTAAGTTGGTAGTAAATAAAAGATTTCCCAGGCCGTACCTTGCGGGGGAAACAACAATTAACAGTATAACAGATTAATCGACTAAACATACGTTAACATCAATTTAGATTTCAACTGGCCCTGCCACTATTCTGCACGAGCCGCATAATTATATATGTATCTGGGGTAACACATTGGTGTGAATAGAGCCACATGATATACAAACTATCTATATCCGTTGTATCTTTTCAGTATTTTATACTTGTGAAGGGGGGAGAAATTGTACCTCCAATGAAACACGGAGGATGACCGGCCTCAACTTACCCCACGCGTATGAATTCCCGTGGATTTGTAATATGACATTTCATGAACGGGGAGACTCGTTTAGGGGTGAGGTTGGCTGGTGAGGATTATCCGTGTCTTTGAAATAGCCCCGAAGCTAGCTCCTGTTCTCTTGGCAAGGAACCTGTGGGTGTGTTTGGATCATATGCCGTCACTCGCGCTTTGAAACGAAGTATTGTGGAGCTCATGGTAGCTTGATATGGATCAAACCCACCATTGGAGGTTGAAATAAGGTTTAAGACATGTGATTTGCGTGCAGGATCGAGTTTAGCCGAGTTATTCTTATGATGTGGTAGCGGAGGAGCTCCTTCGATTCCTAGGCTGGTTACCAACACGCCTTAACCAGAGCGATGGGATCCCACCAACATTATCCACGCGACAATCTAATCTAGATCAACTCAGCAGGGGATGGTTCCTAGTTCTACTTCGCTGAAAGACGTGCTGATCTGGGTGCCGAAGCCACAAAGTTCGCATGGGGTGCTGGGAACTGTACCTTACAGAGTCCTTACCAATCGATATCGATGTAATCAAAATTTAAACTAGCTATAGGAGATGTTCTGGGAGTTTAAATAATCGACGCAATCTCATAAAGGCGGGTTTCTCAAGCGCACCACACCACTTATTCTAACTGCAGGACACGCTAGTCTCGACAATTAAGAATTGGAATTTTTCATGACCGGCTTATACGGTTTCTGTAAGCAACTGAGCTAAATTAAATTAAGGGTGAATGACAAATCAGTTACGGAACTGGTGGTACTGGAAGGAGCTTAAACGAGAGAACAGAACTACTTGTAGCTGTAGGAGAGCATGGGGCATGACCGGGCTACTACTTTATAACACATTGATATATTCGAATTTGTACACATATTGTAAAAACTTTGGACCTACATACTCCGGAATACTATAATTAATTCCATACAAAGAAGACAACGCTTTATATCTATAGAACTCTCGAATTTTAGAAATGCAATTACCTATTTAATTATGTATCTTAGATGGTTGTGAAGTTATATCTTGTTAAGAATCCGCGTAGCAACCATAGAAAATTGCCCAACTTTGAGAGTTCATAACTTCACAACCATCTAAGATCTTAAAAAGATGATTAGATTTCTAGAATTCTCACGCTCTAACGTAAAAATAGTTATCGTCGACCTCTCATCATGGCTTTAGGTGTTATTTCCAGCGTTGGTATAGCAATTGTACCTACCCGGCATTAATACACTCAGAGGAAATTGCATCACGAATGATCATTTAGTATCTGAGTAACAATATCGGTTTTATTATTTGCTTTGCCCAATGGTAATACTAGTAATTTGTAGCATTAAAAATAGTTCTAGATACCCTATCCTTCTCTACCAGGCTCTATTCCTTCGTCTCCCCCATCACCAAGCCGATCGCCCCTTACCTCACCTCTATTCTTTTTCCCACCACTACCACCACCACCACCACCACCCCTTCCATGGCCACCTTTACTACCCCTACCAACTTTACCACCTCTGCCACCATTTGCTCCGGCATAATCAATCCTAATTAAAGGGTTTTGTACACTAATTTTCCCATCCTCACTAAAATCCACGACTTTATCCCTTTCAGACATAGTCAGCCTCGAGGATTGAAAAATACCGTCAATATTTTGAATTCCCCGCAACTCGTGGACCCAATATTTAATATAGTCTCCACTGGGGTCGTAGTCATGCGCTTGCTTAACCTGGTTGAATACGCGGCTTTCTCCTCTTGGGTCATTTCCAACGCCAGCAGTATATCTACATATGATCCATTAGTTATAGGTACTCAGAGGTTTTTGAGTTACGGAGAAAAGAAGGGAGGAATAGTGGGGGTGGCGAGGTAAATCTTACTGCCAGTTCCCCCAATTACTGCTGGTATCATAATCCACCAGCATACACTCATACCACTCTGCCCCTAATCTCCAATCCATTTTCATTCTCTTAGCCAAATAACTCGCTACATTCTGTCTAGCCCGATTACTTGTCCATCCTGTAAGGTATAGTTCCCTCATGCTCGCATCGACTAAGCCCATACCAGTATTTCCTCTCTGCCATCGCCCAAAATCCTCTTTTGCAGCAGGATCTGATAACGTCTTCCAGTAGTAACTTGTGTCACCCCGATATCCGGCCTGCGAGAAGATTTTGGGTCCAAATTTAAGCATACAGAGACGGAAATAATCTCGCCACAGTAATTCAAAGCGAATCGATGCAGTGCCTTTATTTTCTCCCTTTCCATATCCTTGGGGATGTGGTTTGTTTTCACTCTTGTCATTCGGGAGCGATAGTATGGGTTTCCAAGGGCGTCCCTCTTCGAATTCAAACATGGCTTTATTAATTATCCTTGAGGAAACGCAACCCTGCGCAAGCCAGGCAGCAAACTTGCACGAGAAATCTTCGCCTAATAAGCCGTTACGGGTGTCCTTATAAGTTGTCATTGCTCCAGTGGCTAACATATGGTCAATTCGTTTCAAACCAGATGTTTCGCCGCCTTTGAAGGGGTGTGCTGTCTTTGCACCGGGTGGTGTCTGCAATGATGACCCAGGAAGATCGAGGTTCTGAAGCGGTTTAAGAAGTGAAGAAATAAGACCATCAAGAGAGTCAGGGATTGTGAAGGGCGGTTTTTGGGCTGGGATATAATGTGGAATTGGAGCGATTGAAATTGGCCGAGGGTGTGGGTCTCGAACATTATCGCGGAGAGGTTCGACAGTCTTTCGAAACTGTGTAAAAACATCCGAAACCTCGTTAGGCTTCATAGGAAGGTCATCTCTATTGTTTATATAATCAGCGCTTATTCACCCAACTCATATATCACCAGATCCAATCCAATCAACTCTAACCCACTAGGAATATAAAGGAAAAGAGGTACCGGTCAATAAGATAACTCTCATCCTCAAAAACTCTGAATTCAATCATACCCTTCCCAATTTTCTCCACGAGCTTCCTGATCCCGTTTTCTTCGCTCATCTCCTCACTACCATGATCTCTCGTCATCCAGACACTCACAATCTTTCCAGCCTCTGTGTTCTCCTTGCCATCTATATCCTCCATTATTCCACCTATAACCTCGCCGCCCCACCCAACCCTAATCACGAGACTACTCCCAAGTTTCTCCAAGCTCTCTTTTAAATCCCACACACACTCTGCAACGAATTTTGCTCTATGAGGCCCGCACCTCCAAAACCCGGCTACACGGCTACGGGCTTCGGTGTATGGTGATTTTGTATCTGGTAATAGAAATCCAGAGGTTTCGATTTGCTGAGGATTAAAAATGTAAACTGGAAGGACATGTGTGTGATCTTTTGTTTTGGAGAGAGTATGGAAAAGAGGATTATCCACGAGTCTAAGATCACGTCGAAGAAGAAGCAAACGAATTCGAGGTGCCCCGGTCATTGTTGTCTTTTCAGAAGAAAAGATTTTATTCTAATAAAACGGGGAAATGAGATGGCCTCGGCAGATGGGACTAGTTGAGATTTTATCTATTGGTGTGGTTGAGCCAGATATCTATGACGCCATGACAGACCACTTCAGGAACGCCACCGGTGCGTAATTGCTACATCCATTATTAGACAAACCGCCAAGGTCTCATGTTGACCCCTATCATAGACTATCACTCGTTTTATAGCGTGCTTTATGAAACGCCTAGTGTATGTTTGGGTGATCTGGAAAAACTTGCCTACGAGACAACGGATGTCGTTATCAAAACCCCAACAGCAACAATAGGAATCTCAAAATGATACCCATAAGCTGAACATTTGATTCTAAGGTCTTTGCAAAAACATATTCCCGAATAGTAAAAAAGTCAAACAATTTTCTGAAGCCTTGGGATGATTAAGAGTTGAAAATAGGTACTACGAACCTGTAAGCAAAGTATTCCCGAACCAACCGCCACCCATTTATTGAAAGTGTCCCTTTTAACATTAAGCACGCATGTATTCTAAAGTTATTGTTACAATGAAGAAATAAAATAAAAAGGGATATAATACGCGGTATTCGTCACAAATAACAGTAGCCCTCCAACAATACCTTTTAAAAGAGAAAGAAGCGCCTGCCTCCATCCACCTGCCCAGACAAAGAAAGAAAATAAAGTCCCATTTAGCTAGCCATAAACCCTGCCCATACCCATTCCTACTAGGCATATATGCCTTGTTGGATGATCACACTCACCGGGCGCTCTCATCTAAGAAAGAAAAATGTAACAAAAACAAAAACTAAGTCAAGGCATTGCAGGTATACTCAATCCCTAGGGAAACATAGGGGATACCTGACGAATGTGCAAACATGAATATATAGATTGAAACAAGTCCGGCTGTTGTTGCACATGTCGATTTCGTTTTCCGGCGATATGATTAATGAAAGTAGCCTCCGCTTGGTAAGGCAACGAAAATTCCGGCGATGATTGCTGAGACGATCGCAGCAATAATAATACTTTGGACAAAAATGGCATCTTGGATTTGTTTAAGGGCAGGTTCCTCGATCCAAACTTCTTTGTCAAAAATCTTTTGGATGATATTGCGGTTGGCATATTGAGCAACCCAGGGCTCGTCTTCGTAGCTATTGCTGCTGTTCTTACTATCGAATGAGGATTTGGATTCAAGGTTCATTTCGAGGACATTTTCATCATTCCATAGTTCCCAAGGATGAACATGACGATGGTGAAGGCCATGAAGTACCTGAGAAAGGAAATCATAGTTAGCTTATGAATCGGATTCATAATGAGCCGGCACCAAGAACTTACCACACACATCCCCTTTGTAGCCGCAAACAGCGTAGAAATCCCAATAAGCCATGCTATTGCCGCAAATGCCCTGTATCCTCTTGGCCTATTGCTAAGGGTCAACAGAATGGCGACTATGAATCCAGCCGCGATCACTACTGTTCCCAACCACAATGCAAACACAACTCTGCACTCGTTTCCATTTCTAACACTCCATCTGATGAAATTTGGATGAGCCTGGTGGCGGAGCGCGCTTTCAACGGCTTTCTTGAGAGGATCAAGGGCCGAAGGATGTGTTGTCTGAGCCAATGCACGTAGGGCTGCAACACGATCACGGGCCGAGACGTTAAGTTCCCGAGGGGAACCCTCAGCAACATAAATGGCAATCACACGAGTGATTTCTTCACGGAACGGTTGGATTGTGACTGTATATGGTTGGTAAAAAATGAACGAATTAAGGGCCGAAAAGTAACCAAGAAGTAAAAGCATGTTTGGGGACTAAGACAAGGAGACAAAGAACTTACAAGGTTGCCACTTTAAATCCACAGCCTGAAATGCGTCAGCAGTAACGGTTGCATGGTCAATGCCCGTAATACTCCCCGAATCCGTCTCAGAGCCCCAAAGGTTATTTGAAGAACCCTGACTGCCAGGCGGTGTGGTGAATGGGTTACCCTTTGTTTGGGGTGGCACTTTTAGATGTGCATTTGGAATTGAGAATGCATCAGCAAAAAACTTCGTTGCAAGTCTAGTGGGCCTGTTGGCAGGGTTGGTGTTGTTCGTATTGGGTCCATTTACGTCCAAAAATTGAGAGTATGGGGCTATCTCTGGAGAAAGAGCTTTCTCGTTATCGGGAAGTGCCTCAAAACGTGCGGAATAGTCGCGAAGCCAGAGATAAAATTGAAGATTCTCGGCAGAGTGTTCGACATATGTAAGATATCTCATAAAATCACGACATGTCATGGGCTATGAATTTCGAGAACATGTTAGCCCTCTTTGATACTGTATGCACGGCCTCATTTCTGACTACACAGGGTGGCAAATTAAAAGGTTGAAGCATCGAAAAGACCAGCAGGGTATATCATAATCCAAGTGCATGAATATTTCACAGGAAAATATACAGGGGAGGGTTGGTGCTACATTCGATTTCACTGCTTCATTCTCAAACAATATAGATGAATACACATACCGGACATGTTCCTCCAGCAATGATTTTGTCAAATGACAGAGAATCGGGAATACTATTGAACTTTGGTAAAGGTGAGGTCGAACGAGATGAACTTGGAGTCAATTCGTCCATGTTTTTGGTTGACAGTTTTGTTGTCGCTGGAAGACTTCCGACATACGATGGTCGAGAGTTGAAAAGGAATGTATGCACCATGTTATAGTCCGAGGGACTTTATACTGTGTGTGGCGGACAAGTGGGTATTGGAAGACGAGAATCCGAGTTCCTGGGTTGAAGGCTAGCTGTCAATTAAGCTAGTAACTAGACAAATACTCCGAAAACGATTTCAAGACACAAAAGAATTAGACCCAAGACCCCACCAGTGACGGTTGTGGCTTTTTCCCTTGTACCGGTACTGGTAGGTGTTGATTTTGTAAAAGATTCACTGGAACTCATGGAATCGACGCGGAACTTAGTATCCTTTAAACCACCACTAAATCCTCGCTCGGCCGGTGCTGAAAGTAACAGAAATAGTTTTCTTCTTCACCCTTTTGCGCTGCCCTTACTCTACAGCGGTGTGGGGGCTCAAGACTCAAGATTGACTTTGCGCAACGAACAGCACGCTGGGGAGAGGATCTAGTACAATGTAGCATAGACGGCTTCCCGTCCCTGCAACCCATATGTCGTGACACAGAAAAGGGTTAGACTAGCATGTTCATTTCGCTTCTCCAGGCCTCGCTGGGATCGAGAAGCACCAAACGACTCCTTGCAAGATCCACTGGATTGTATTAGGCCCTTGTTATCTGCCGCCCTTATCCGGAGCAGTTATATCCAAACGGACTGGTTTATGGGGCCTAGACCATTATACTTTCCATGATGTATCACCCTGGACACCACCATCGCAGTACATGTACGTAATCATTTAATCGTGGACTGGGGAAAGCAACTTCACATGTTGATTTTACTAAAAGTTCTATGCCGCTGTAAGTACATGCAATTGCATTACTGTGCACACAAAACTGTGCGTCTTCTCGACTGTTTTGCTTTTCGCTGAAATCAAGGCGTTAAAGAAGGCGCCGTTCTCGTTTTCTGTCAGACATCCACTCTAGCTTCTATTGTATGATACTAACGTGCGCCTCAGACCTTTAGTGCTGGTAGACGCATTCATGTACTCGTATTTTCCTGACGTTTGTAAAAGGAACCGCTATTGCATACCATACTAAATTGTGGACTTGGCGCGTATTTGTATGGTATGCAATAGTGGTTCCTTTTACAAACGTCAGGAAGATACGAGTATGTGTGTGTATGTAGGTAGAGTACATACCTCTAGTACCTGCTCTACTCATGTGGGTTTAAGGTACACCCGGTTGAATTGGGCCGCCGTATTGAACGATCGATATACTCGCTCGTTATATAGTTAAAGGGTCGGAAGTCGTTGCAACCAAATCACCACACAAAATTCCGACCTCTTAATTAACGCGCGGGCTACGGACAGAATGCTTGAAAACGACCTTTAAGGTTTCTGAATATAGGCACAGACTCTCTATATCTAAAGAGTACACAACTTAGAGTGTAGCTGTAGTACGTGTAGGTACTGCCTGCAAATATCCCAGCGGTAACAGATCCGAGCCATTCGGCGACGTCTGTGACTCTGTGTGTACCGAAATACTCTAAATCTTGGCCAGGAAAGAAATCTATCGCTTAAGTACAATGCAGGGTGATCCCCGCTCCTCACCGAGATCGGAATATTTTGGTTGGCTCTGGATTCTGGGGGTTAGATCCGTATTAATTACTCTAGTAGATTAAACCAGATCTGGCTAGAAAGGTTGGCAAAGGACTTGGAATGCATCATCATGCAGCCTCATCTCTGTGGTCCCTGAACCTCACGATTCAGGCTGAAATTAACAAATTTCTCAGCTTAGCCCTTAGAGATTTCATCAACACCAGCATCTGTCAAGCAGGCAATATCTGGAAAGGAGAGGCGGAAATTAGGACCCGATGTCAAAAGGCAAACATCGGCTAATCATGTAGTTTGTGTTGAGATTGAACATGTCGTACGCATCTCTCGTATCTCTGCAATGCTCCTGGTGACGGCCGCGGCTCGGTGTTAAGTTTGATCGTGTTCCGTTTATCGTGTGCCTATTGCCCACGATCAAGGGGCCATATTAATGGCGGCTGCCCCGGGAAAACTAGTACATAGGCCGCCCTCTGCCGATCTGGGGAAGGGGTTGCGAGAAGAAAAGCTAGAGTACCTGCGGTGTTCGCCGGTGTAGCTCTAAATTTAACGTAGGATCTAGGATCAAAGATTCACAACCTTTCTTTTCTACTACATATCTATGGCTAAAGGAAGGGACGAACCCACCACAACATGGCACAACAATTCTGCCTACATGCACCTAGCCCTATGATTGCCCACGACGGGCGAGGCGGCTACAACATTGGGAGACTTTATTTTCTACGCGTCTTCCGTGAACGGAGGTGCACAAGAATGCGCTGCATGGTGAAGCCCACAACCAGGATGCCGATAGATTCCGGTGTAAGTGAGAAGTGCATAAATTCCCTGGAAATGAGGCTCTTATCGCGTCACTTGAGATCAAAGTCATTCGCTCGGAAGTGTGATCCACAACTGACAGGTTGGTCAATCCTAGTCTACAACGAAGCTGCCATAAACATAAAACGACGAATAATTTTCTCCTCTCCCAAAAAGATCTCGGCATTCTAGAGTAGTAAGTAGTACGAAATAATTTTTATTCGTCTATTTAACTCTACCTACATTTAGCTGATAGGTACTACTAGTAAGAGTAATGTTGATAAATATTATTACTTACAATGTGTAATTGAGACATGCCGTTTTGATTCAGTACGTACAAGTATTTATGCAAGCCAAATACGAACGTACATGTACTTTACTTACATACAGGTCGTAATGAGATGTACAGTAGCCCTTGCTTCCTTCACGGATAATAATATTAATAGCACAAAGCGGCGCCGCTATTTGTGATAACTACATATTGCCTAGATCTAGTTGTTTAAGTGCCATGCAGTACAGATGTCTCTGTGAACAAAAGATAAATTTAACACAAACAATCAACTTCGCCACTACCTTCTTTAAATGCGCGCAATGGGCAAGGTGTAACGAGTATGTTATCTGAAACCTTATGTCAGGTTTAGAATACCGCCAGCAAGTGCTCCGCACAGGAGGGCACACCACATTCTCGGTGCATGCATGTTTTGGTCTCAGTAAACATTGAGCACCTATTGCCCCTACGTTACATTGGCAAAGGAAAAGGCTAGAAGGGTTCAGTTCAAGAATAATTACCCCACGTCTTCTACTGGCGAAGAAATGTTTTGGAACACATCCAATCGGATCAAAAGCTTGTACTGTAAATCAATGCGCGATTGTCATATTTCTGCGCTCTTTCTATCTAGGATTCACAACTTCGCCAGAACGGCTTCAGCGGCAGAGACCTGTTTTTTCCATGCAGATGCACGTTAGTCAAAGACGAGGGGTAAAAAAAAAGCAGAAAACTTGATGACCCAGATGTTGAGGAAAGGTTCCATCGACCTTTTCCTTTCTTTTTCCTCTTCTTGCATTCGGCGACTTGAAAAGACCGGAAATAGAAGTGAAATGGGGCTTACATCAACCTCCCCTTTGTTATCCTTCGCAGCATAGGTAACAATTCCCTTGTCAATGACGAGGGCATATCTGGCCAATCTGGGCCCATTTGTCCATCCGATACTCTCAGAGAACTTATTTCCGGTATCGGAGAGGAATAGAATATCATCCCCCTTCACGTTATTGGCTTTTCCCCAAGCGGCCATCACATGGGCATCGTTGTAGGCTATCACTGCAATGACATCTATGCCTTTGTTCTTCAATTCGTTATAATTCCTGATATAGCTGGGGAGGTGCTTCTCGGAACATCCGGGAGTGAAGGCCCCTTTCAATGCGATTGTGAGTCAATCTATCTTTCTAGAAAACTATACGCATATAGTTCAAGCAAGCCTACCTGGGACAGCAAAGAGAACGACTTTCTTATCCGCCCATTCGTCAGAGGCGTTGAGCTCTACCTGACGTCCACAGGTAGCAATGTCGGATTTCTCTTCGGTATAAGGAACCCAACTATTATATTATCGTAGTACTAGGTTAATGTCCAAAGCGGGGAGAAAATGGGTGGTGAGAACGAACCTGAAAGTGACGCCAGCGGGGAATTTATCACCAGGTTTTATAACAGACATTTTGGTGTTTATCGAGGTATCTGTAACAAAAGATTGTCCTGATACGTATATACGTTACGAGGAGAGGGGTTGAGGTTCAAATGCTATTGAGCTATGCATATTATGCATACCATAAAGAACCCTGCCTGTTTAATAACCCCGCTCCAGGTAAAGCCGTAACGCAACAAAGCCTCCCCAGTTCGCAATCACACTCTACAGCCTCTACTTGATCAATTGATGGAATGAAAGACTAGAAAATGATTAATTCCCAGCCCTCCCCAACGCTCTCCAAAGTCCAGGGAAATTTACAGTTGATTAGCGACTCGGGGAATAAGTATTTATTTAGCCATTGACGGTTTTAACAGATTGCCTTCCAAATGTGATGTATACTAGAAGTGCTCTCGAGCAAAGAATTTACGATCATGAAGTAGTTAAAAAAAGCTAGTTCTCAGCTTATGAACTCCCGATGTATTTAATCGTACCAAAATCTAGGGATGGTAGCTTGCATCAGCATTCAAAATTCAAGTGTTTTGGGCCAGTGCCGAACTTTGCAATTTGAGGAATAATCAATATATATTATATTATACCATGGGATGATGCATGGTTCGACTCCAACTCCAAATCTGATTCCAGCTCCGACTCTGGCTCTGGCTCTAGCTCTGGCTCCGACTCCGAATCCGACTCCGAGTGGTGTGGTCTATGAGACAGGCCGACTCAGCTTCAAGCCTGATACTCGGCGCGGTTTAAGCTAGCTCGTCTTAATATTGAGAGTAATCACGAGGAAAACTCAACCGCCCGCTTTTCAGGATAGAGATCACAAGCAGTATGCGTTGATGTTCTTCGGTTATATTTTAATGTCCTCTGGGTAGGCTCGAGCCATACTCGAATTTCAGTCGTGGACCACGGTAGCACTGGTGATACATGTAAATCTGAATCCATTGATATATTACCGTAGCACCTTAAGCCATGAAGGTTGACTCCTCGTGCGCTAAAAAAAAACCGCAGCAAATCCCGAGTTAGATCGCAAATATTGTCTCACAAAGGAGTCCGTGTCACGACAGCTCAAATATAAAATTAAGTAATTGCCTATTCCAATGCAATTGAATAGAAGTTCATTGATCGTAACTAATTTGGTTATACAGCAATAAGCTGACTTATATATATACAAAAGAAAATGCCCTTTCAAGATGTAGGCCGGCAGGATAGGAACCCACGGTTACTCGATCACGGTACTTCATCCTTCTCTTTTTATCCTCGACGCCTCGTTTTCTACTCTGGGTCTTTTGATTGGCCTTTGGGGTGAAGAATAACTTGTGCTTCCGCCAAGAGAAGATTCGTTCCAGGCTTCGTTCGCAATTCCATTATGTGTCTTTGTGATAGCCCTATATCGATCGCCCGGGCGCTCTGCTGCAGGCTGCCTAAGCGGCGCCGTGGGAGCTTGGGTTTGACCAGTTGACGGCCGAGGCGGTAGCGACGCTACAGCATATCGTTGTGATGCTAATGCTTCCTGGTATTGATCAAACTCACCCCCAGGCCCCACATGCGTATGTGGTCTCTGCAACGATGAAGTAGCTGGACTGAAAGAATCTGTCGAGGGGGCAGCTCTTTTGGACAACCTTCGCGCTTGCGGCCCTGATTTTCCTGGCTCTACACTCTGCTGGACATTATTAGAACCATCTGGGGTTCTTGTATTGAGATTCTGAACCCCTCGAACTCCATCTCGTGGTGTTACATTCTGCTGGACATTACGAGTACCCTCCAGTGTTCTTGTATTAAGATTTTGATCCCCTCGAGCTCCATCTCCTGATGTCACATTCATTCCTCCTCGGTGTATTTCGAGATCCGTGATATACTTCATAAGAGAACTCCAGGTCGAGCTGTTGCTGCGGAGATCTTGTCTTTCCTCTCTAACCACTTGACGCATCTTCAGGATATCCCCACTGAGAAGAGTAGGGTTGGTCCGATTAGGATGTTGATGGATCAAAAGCGCAGAGGCAACAAATTCTATAGGTGAATATTTCGTTGCGTGGGTGTAATTATGATTCTGGAATGTTTCTGGATGTCTCTTCAGTATCTCATTGTACTTATAAAAGACGTTTTTTACGGTAGCCCTGAAAGGTTCGTCAAGAAGCTTTGTACGTTCACAGAAAGCCTTAAGGGAAATAGCGCCAGCGCTGTATTTAGAGTTTTGATCCTCTGAATTGAGAATCTGCTTAAAAATTTGTAAAATAAGCTGAAAGCTCCGACCACGCCTATTATCCACAGCTAGTAGATTGAAAAAGTAAGTATGAATATTAATGGGGGGGGGGGGGGGGGGGGGGTAGATAATGCGCACTTTGCATGAGATCTGGATACTTCTGTTCTATTTCAAGAGCGAATGCCTGCCAAGCACCTGAGCTCGCTCGGAGTTTTTCGGCGGGTGTAAGTGGCACCCCTAATTGAACGCGCGAAAACAGATCTTCTTCCTGTTTTCTTTCCAAGGCCGCATATTCTGCACAAAGCAGTTCTTGTCCCAAGAAATGTTGTTTGAATTTCTCATTGAGTAATCGTTTGTTTTTGCCGGACGGACTGCCATTATCTTTGAAAAACCTATATAAAATGTTTTTTATGATGAGACGCCAAGATTTCAGTTGTGTGTGGAGGAAATAGCTCACCATTTACGACCGTGCTTATCTGTACAAGGAATATTTCCATTGACAAATTCTCGGATAGACGAAAGACGCTGCTTCCCGTCGATTGAGATCCGGAGAAACCTCTCCCCGCCTTCTTCTGTCTTTATCGTTTGAACATTAAATATAAGAGGGGGGATATAGTAATTGCCTAAATCGAATGTTAGCATTCAGTATTTGTCACATCCATCAGCAGTGGGAGTACGAACATATCAAGGAATTTATGAGTTTTGTCATTCTATCACTATTCCAAACAACATCTCTTTGATAGTCTGGATTTAAGTCTAAAAAGGGACTCGACATCATATCTGTGTGCACATAATCATTAGCGCGACAAATCACGTGAGGTGGAGTCATCGCGAAGAATACCATAAAGATCTGTTATTGAGCGCCGCTGCCAATGACATTCCTCAAGCTTTTCAGGAAGCTCAAAAACTCCGTCGGAATTTTCTGCCCCCATCTCTTCATCATCCTCATCGTCATCAATATCGTCATCTGATTCCTGCACGGCTACGGGCTTTTCTTTGTTGCGAAGTCTCGACATTTTGATAAGAGGTTTTTGCGAAGAGAAGCACTCTTCAAAAGAGAGTGTTGCTTTTCGGTTCTAAGGAGGGTCTGCTCAAAAAAAATGTTGAGATATCACACAAGATGTCAAAGTGGGTGCTGTAATAGGGAGCGAAAGCGTATTTTGGGAGGAGATGGGAAGGGGTTGACAGTCTGAGACAGGAAAGTTCTCAATTTGGCTGACTAACTGAGTGGACAGAGCCCCTCAGCTCCCACATTCCAACAACAAAACTACTAATAGGACACTCCTACACCAGCAACAACTACATTCGCCTCAGCCCTACAACTTAAAATGTCAACCCCACTTTTCGATCCTACCCTAATCTCCCCCGAGGTTGCTTCTTCACTACCAGATGGGTACTCTATCCGTCCAGTCCATAAATCCGATTACAGCCAGTTTCTAGATGTCCTCCGCGTTCTGACGACCGTGGGGGATATATCCGAGGCGGATTGGGCTGAAAGGTATGACTGGATGGCAGCTAGAAAGGACGAATATTTCATCATTTGTATCACGGATGATAAGGAGAAAGTTGTTGGCGTAGGAAGCTTAATTATAGAAAAGAAATTGTAGTATCCCCTTCTCGCTGCTTGGTATTAATGTCAAATCAAAAAAAAGTTCTAATAATTTACGAATAGCTTGAGAAATCTAGGAATAGTCGGTCACATCGAAGACATTGCTGTTTCAAAAGATCAACAAGGAAAGAAGTTGGGATTAAAAATAATTCACGCTCTTGATCATATCGCAGGGAAGGTTGGCTGCTACAAGGCCATCCTCGACTGTTCAGAGAAGAACCAGGGCTTCTATGAAAAGTGTGGATATAAGCATGCTGGCGTACAAATGGTGAGTTGGTTGCTACATTGATAATGGCCAATGATCACGTCGGCTTACGTGTGAATAGGCACACTATTATGAGAAGAAATAGCCAGCTGTAGGCGTAATGTGGGCTCGGAACTTCAGACGGCTGAGTGTCCATAGATTAACGGGGAAACGACTTATTTGATTGATATGGGTTTACATTGCATTGTACTACTGTCTTAGAAATACCCTGGTCTAGCTAAAACCTACAATGACTGTTTGCTGAGATTGCGATTTAAGTCCTGAAGCATTGACCAACTACAAGACCAGAGTAAAAGGAGACTCTTGCTTCCTTCCGACCCACCCGTAAGACAGCTTCAGTGGCCACATACCGGGTATTGAATTCACAAATTCTAAGCCAACAAGCCTTAGAATCTTCCAAAGCTTGCGAGCTCCAACCAAGATCACGGCGATTAGATACAAGGTCCTTATCACATTTCCAGCAGCAATTTCGGACCTCTTTATTTGACCGACCAAACCAGGCTGTAATTGGAAGTAAAAAAAAACCAGAACTATACACCAACACCACTATCCCTCTCCCTTTTAACGGGATTTGGCCTGGACTTTGGGTGCAGCACCCTTCGCACCCTGCTTTGATACCTTTCCACCGCGAGCAGCAACACTGGCGCTCTTGGCCTTCTCGGCCTTCTTCTTGCTCTCGGCCTCAGCCTTCTTGGCCTTTCCATCCTTGATAGCCTGGGCGCGGGCGGCCTGACGGGCTTCTGGGCGGAGGGAACGCTTCTCTTTAAGAACATCGAGAGAAAGACCGACAATAGCACGCTGGGACTTGACGGTACGGCGGGTACGCTTCTTGGCGACTTCCTGTATGGGTGTAAGCAGCTTGAATGTAGCGCAGTCGACGATGTGATTGCGAAAATACAAACCTCAGAGATACCCTTCTTGTGCATACGCCTGAACAAGATAGTCCAGGCAATTCTGCGAGGGTTCTTCCTCTGGAGGAAGAGTGACTCGGACTTGCCGTTCACGAATCTAAAAACCTTGGAGTCACCGCGGACATAGATCTTACCCTGTAATGGAGATATTGTGTTAGATTGTATTTCATAAGCTATTCCCGGGAATAGTAAGAGTTATCGAAGAGCATATTCGAACCTTTGAAGGGTAGATTTTGGCACCGCTGAAAGCATCAAGTTCGACCTATCGTTAAATTCCCTATTAGTACATGACCCAAGCAGTAATTCTAACGATCCTTATCCCAGAAGCGGTATCTGGACAGCTCCCACCCCACATAATTTCCCTTCATCTTTGCCCTTGCGTATTCCCTGTCCGGCTGACTATCCCATCTACTTCCACTCCATCCCTTAACCAGTCCTCCCTGCTGTCCAGACACCGCTGCCGTCGCTATCTCTCATTTTTTTCATAGGGACCGGGAACCGTAACACACCTTCATTTTTGCTGTGGTTGATCTTTAATATGTCGTCGTTTTGGGTGGGTTCGGGTGTCGTCGTTGTCGTTTGTGGTTGGCGTTGGCGTGATGAATTCGTTGGTGTTTAGCGGAAATTGTGGGGGATTTGTGTGGGTGGTAGAAAAGGAAGTCACAAAAGTTGATAGCCCTTGCACGTGATAAGACTCGCTTAGTCATTAGATCCTACCCACCACGGGGTTCCTGCCCTTTGGGGGTGAATACACAATAAATCTAGAGCCTTATACATCATACATAATAGTATAATTTCGCTATAAGGATATAAAAACGCGAAAATTTCACAATTATACAGATTCCGATAGAATTATTGCGAAAGTGGGTTCTCCGTGACCCGATAGTCCTATTGGCCCTTAAAAGATTTTTGCTACGAGCACAGCCCAACAAAATCCACTCTTTTAGCTCTGACTTTCGCAATAATTCTACCGGAAACTGTAAATACAATATATGTTCTTATAATGAGATTGCGCTGCATGCGCAAATCACAATATCTCACTCGCCGCAGCTAGACGAAGATACATGTAGGATCGACCCGCTCGCTCGTCAAAGCTGGAGCCTCTCAAATCTGGTTCGAGCATACTCGGAGAACAATAAAGCTTACATGTAAGCATTGTATGGACGTGTTACCTCAAATTAATCGTTTCCCTTTTGGCCCATGAAAAAAGGGTAGGCATGTCTTGATGGACCTTTTTCATGTTAGGTATTATATTATCCGATTGATGATCACGAGGAGAATGAAGGTGCAGGCATGGAATATATTTCACTGGGTCATCCTGAATTATTAATATGATATGTGTTATAGTAATTAGAGTGTTTTGGTCCATCCCCGTAATCCAGTATTCGGCCATATCTCTTCCACGTAAATTAGTATATATGGCGCAGTACATAGCTTCTACAGCAGAGATATAGGGACCAAAACACTCAACATCAGTATCCGTGATGCTACGCATTAATAGAACAAGGGCTGTTTCGTTAAATGGCAAAGCCCAGCCTTATATTATGCTTCACCTGATTGGCGCCACCATGATACAGCTAGTAATTGGGCCAGATATATGTAGTTGGTATATCTTCAACCTTGGGCGGATTCAACATTATTGATAAACTATGATTTGTGCTGGTTTAGAGATTTAAAAATGTGGCCAGGTACGGTTTAAATAATTTGTTTACTAACAATACTTGACAACGATTGCAAAGAGACTATGCGCTATGTCATTCTTTTGCCTTGTCTTATGAGAACCTCAAGTCACTTTAGCAAGTTGTTTTCAAAGTTCCAGAAAAGTCCTGTTCCTGCCTTCCATGTTTGCCCATGCTTTGAACCTGTTTCTCGATTCTAGCAGATCTGGGTGCAGCTAGACTCTCTAAATCCACAGCATCGCAGCTCATTAAGGTTTCAGTTGTCTCCAAAATATCGGCAATTAACCTGCATATTGACTATATTAGAACAGAAGGGTAGTTATTAGTGGAAAGGGACGACCGACCGGTCCAGTAGATCAGCAGACATGCTTTCTCGCACTACGACCCTCAAAATTTCGATTTCTTCTACACTTGGTGGCAAGTTGTAGTCTATCACGCAAAAATTTATTAGCATTTCGATATTAATGCGCTTAATTATGGGATGTTGTAGAGGCATACTTGGAATGATATATCCTTTCGTTCTCAGGAGTGTTGAAACACTCTGCTGCTTGATGTGGGGGAATGTTTTACGGAACTCATCATTAAACCTGAATGCAACAACTGGTAAACCCGAATTATAAAGACTTGGGTCGGACTCTTGTAATGTAAGATCCTTCACACCCTCAATAATCTTCGTTCCAGTACCTCCATCTCCCCATGAACCTCTCTTTCGATGAATGTCGCTCAAGCAGACATACCAACCGCTAGCTTCAAGTGCCTTTGAGAGAACTCGTGCGTTTTGTAGTGCGTTCTGCATAACTGATGTAAATCCCTCACGACCAAGGTGGATAAAATTGAAATATTGTGCAATAACCTGGTTACCAGGTCTCGAAAAATTGAGTGTGTATGATTGCTCAGTTCCACCTAAATAATGAAGTTCAAAGATGAGATCTTTCGGGAGATATTCTTCATTCCTCCATACAATCCAACCAAGTCCAGCATATACCAGTCCAAACTTATGACCAGACGTGTTAATGGAGTGCACTCTATGGAGTTCAAACCCCCACTTCCCTTGGGCACCTGTAAAGGGGGCAACCATAGCTCCGGAAGCACCATCGACATGGATGGGGATAGAGATGCCTGTGTCCTTTTCATACTCGTCGAGAACTTTAGAAATCTCCTCGACGGGCTCGAAATGGCCAGTGTATGTTGACCCAAGGATCACGAAGACACCAATGGTATTCTCGTCGACGTTTTGACGAACCAATTTAGGATCAAGACACCAGTGTGACTCTTCGCTGACTGGAAGGATTCGGGCTTCAACCTCGAAATAGCGGGCAAACCTATTTTGGAGACATTTGGTTAACCTTCTGATGAGGGATATATGGCATGGATACTAACTTCTCAAGAGCAACTTGTGCATTGGCCCCCATCAAAATATTAGGCTTTTCCGTTGATTTGCCTTCTTTCCTACGTCTATCCTGCCACCTCCTCTTCATGGCCAATCCGCCAAGATGAATAGCCTCGCTACTTCCGATCGTTGCAGTCCCAATTGCAGTCTCGCCCTTAGGAATACCCCACAAGTGCGAAATCATAGAAATACACCTTGCGTGGATAGCCATAAGAGCAGGATATTCATCCGCATCTGCCAAATTCTTTGCGATATTTTCTAGGATCAACTTATCGCATTCCGGCTCCATATACGTATTCACGAAAGAAGCTAGATTGAGGTTGGGACGCCCATCAAGGTCTAATTCATCTTTGATAATTTGGTGAACCACACTGGCATCGGCGCCTGTCTTGGGGATCCGGAATTTCGGGATTTCTTGGCTTGCAGAGTACCGAGAGCCGTATATGTAGTGATGGGTAGCTGTCTTGTGCTGGTGTTGATTTAGACGGTGTTTTGGCGCATGCTCGCGGAGAGACGCGATGAGTTCATCTGGGTCAACCTAAACCAATTCACTATGATTAGCATTAGAAATATGAATGCTGATGGGGCAGCGTCACATACGTGCTTTGAGAGCGACATTGTGATACGTTATTACTCGAAATTGAAGTACTAGAAAAACCGGGGATGTGATATATATTATAGTACACAGCCGGAGTGTTATAGCCTTATGAAGACTCAATGTGAAAGTACGAGTATTTCGACAAGATAAACAATCTCTGGGGAATAATTGCTGGTGTTAATATGTGAGGCAATCATGGCTGTCTTGGACAGTATTTGTACTCTCCTAGAAGTATTTTGGCACCTCGAAAACCGAATACTCATGACGCGCATAGTACCTGTATGATGCAGCCATCTTTCGCAGACAAATGAAAGTGAATTGTGAGATAAATGACGTGATGTTTACACATTTCCGTTAAACAGATGCGGAAATGGTCTGAGCTTCGTTTCTTGCTTGGCCTAGCCAGGGGTCTGAATGCTTGTTTTATGTGCAGGACCTTGGCAACACCATTGCGTGGAATTCTGTTCCGGGAAAAACATGACGACGCGGGGTAAAAACCCCTGACGC